GGCGCTAGCGCGACAAACTAACAAGCTAAACTGAGGTCCTCCATCCACATAACAGAGAGGGGAACACAAAAATGACTCAGTTGGAACTGAAAATATGGATGGAGGACAACATGTTAGCTTCCAGGCTGAGTCATTTCTACCTTCTCCTCTCTGTCAACGCTCTCTGGTTTCATTTAAAAGAGTCGATCATCAGATATTGTCCAAGATTAACCTTCAGGGTGGATATAGCTCGCTAGCAGCCTCGCATCGATAACATATCCACGTCATCATTTACCCAGAATGCTTTGTGTGTAAATAAAATGGCCCCGTCCGTGTAATATATTTTTAAACTTTTAGTTTAAAATGATAACAACTGAACAGCCTACAGCATTTGTACAGTCTTTATTTTACAGTTAAAATATACGTTTATCAAATAAAGTCTAATGTTACAACTAATCAGGGATCCCTTTAAAATATAAATATTTTTAATTTTCATAAATAATTTCTATTTGATAAGCTCCAACATAAACCTGAGCCTACAGTTTCTGTGATAAAAAACATTTAGAGGATAAAAGGAGGACTCACGCTGTAGAGCACGTCCACCCAGCCCTCCATAGTGATGCACTGGAACACGGTGAGCACCGCAAACAGGATGTTGTCGAAGTTGGTGATGCCAAAATTTGGTCCTTTCCAGTACTCTTTACAGGTGGTCCCATTGGGACATTCTCTGGCTGGTGGTCCGCCACAAGGCCTGTAGACTGCGATCTCCCCTGAGGGTGGAGCATAAAAAACCAGAATGTTTTTATTATCCCAAGGACCAAAGCCCTGCAGCAGACACTTCAGTGGTCTCACCTGTGGGCTTGAAGCAGGTGTGGTGGAACTTGCCCATGTAAAACTCCACCCCGATGATGGCAAACATGACGATGGCGAAGAAGAGCAGCAGGCCGATCTGAAGCAGAGGAACCATGGCTTTCATTATGGACTTCAACACCACCTGGAGGCCTGGGGAGGGGGATCACAAACCCAAACATAATGTCTTCATCTGACCAACAGAGACCAAGTGTTTTCAGGTGGTCTCAGAGGGACTTACTGGGGATTCCCGACACCAGTTTGAGGGGTCTCAGAACTCGGACGGCTCGCAGCGTTCTCAGGTCGAAGTCCGAACCCACGGTGGCCAGGATCCTGTCGGTTCAAAGTTCACAAACAAGAACGTTATTTCTGCTGCTTTCCTTCAGCAATGATCAAAGACCTGCCGGTGGTCCGGACCACCTTCCTGATGAAAACCTCAGCTCAAAACTGAAGAAAGTATTTCAGCTTAAAGAGTTCTGCTGGGTGCACGCCTCAGAAACGAGATGGGGGTCTCTGCAGAAACTAAGCAGGTGTTTCTTGTTTTGTGGGCGGAGTTTGACTATTTTTGTTTGGTCTTTGAAGAAGCTGGGGGCAGCGGGGAGTAGCTTGGTCAAAACAGCCAGGAAGCCGATATATTTTTTAAATTTAAATATTGAATAT